TTTTAGAATGAGATATATGAGAGTAATTCAGTAGAAACACATCAAATTTTTTCTAAAATTTGAAGAAAAAATAATAATAAATTCAGTAAAAATTTTTAAATCAATTATTAAACTTATAGAATTAAATGTTCAAAAAAATTTCATTAAATAATTTGGTACGTTTCTATTTATAGGGTTTATATGTTCAAATGGAGACCAATCAGATTTCGACGATTTCGACACAATTTTATTTCTGCAAAATAAATGATTTTTATACTTACACGCTAAATTACAGGAATATATTGTTTAAATGAAAATATAATGAATTATTGCTAATCATCGATGATAAATGATTTTTAAACTTAATAGATCATCGTTATTCTTACTCTCTAAAAATTAAAATTGGGTTTAAAAAATATTTTAATTTCAAATTTTAAAATATAAAATACAAAAATATATATATTAATATAAAAAATTACTTGTTAATCCAATCATAATATTTTGATAACATCTTTTTTTACACCGATTCCATAATAGTACGTAACAAATGGCAGTTTTAAAAACTCCCTATCTTAGCTGATCTCAGATAATACATAAATGCTTGGTGTTTATCCATTTCAACCCAATTCCTAAATAATAACAATTACCAACTTGATATATTAGAATTATTCATATTTGAAGATTTTTGTTAATAACTGAAAGCCTTATATTCATCTTTTTCAACACCAATTCCATATTCATAACAATAACCAAGACAGAATATTTCCTCTGGATCATTCATATCAGCTGAAATTCGATAGATACTGTAAAAAAACATTCACCTGATGAGTTTAATTTTATTAAAATGTTGTATATACCTGTAGTACATTTGGCCAAATAATGTCTGACGATAAATAAGCTGTAGTACATAAGATCGCTGCTGCTTCAACATCAATGAAACTGCCACAAGAATTTTGGTGTATGGGTTAATATAGATTTGAGTGATGCCGGAAACTCCTCTTTTAGAAATAGACAATATCAAATTCTTATAAGCTGTTTCTGAAAATGAAATTTCTGAAAATTTTTATTTATCGATTTAAAGTAAGAAGAGACCGAAGCGATATTTTTACAGTTTGCCCTGCAATAGTTCTTTACCCTCAAAACCAACATAACAAGTTAATATTAAATTCCAAGATGAAATTTTTGTAAAGTATTCTACCCAAAATTTTTCTTCTTGAAAACAAAAAGCATTAAATTACAATTGATTAAATTTTTTAATTTGTCTGATTCGTGCGAACTAGTAAGCTATATATCAGTATGTATATTTAATAAAATAGACTAGCACTATCCTATTATTGTTTTACAGTCATAACGTATTATGGGCTCGTTATTTCCAAGTCATGTAATTGGTGTTTTTCACACTTTTAAAAGTCTCATTTGGCTTGTAAATATTACAACAACTATAGTTCTTATAACGATAATGATGAAAAATTGCCGATATCAATTCATTAATAATCCGAATCACACAATCTATAAATTTTTTGGGTGGTGATTTAACCCCCGGTTCATTTACGAACTTGAAGCATTATAGCGCTATTTTCGATTGTAATTATAACTCTGGTCGAATTTGCCGATCATTGACCAGAATTGGGAAACGTTAAAGTCACGAATTAAAAAATTATTAATTAACGTTAACGTTAAGGTTAGGTTAGAGTCAAATTAGGGTAGGGGCTAAGGTTAGATATTTGGACATAAAATCGTCCCTCTGAATTTTTTTCTGAATATACCTTGTATTTTCTCATTTTTTATTTGCTACGTAAGTGTAAACAAAAAATTCACAAATTTGATTGGTCGTTTGCAACCCTGTTCTAGAGGTTGGAACTGGTTTGTTGCACCCGAATTTAAAACCGGTTCAACCCAATATTCGGATTTAATAAAACCGAATAAAACCGAAAAATCGAATACCAGGAACGTAGCCATGCAGAGTGTATGGTTTACTGCCATCTAGAATGGCGAGTTTGAAAAATCTTGCATTATTGGGAGTTAAAATCTATGATTTAATATGCTGTGTTGGTGTAATATACTAGGTTCTGCAGTTACAGGATTAGCGCAAAGACCTCATATTTGATGATTATGCTTCGCGGCTGCGATAGCGAGTGCAAGAACCTTACGTTGTAATTAGACTCCGCGGCTGCAATAGCAGTGCAAGGACCTTATGTTGTGATTAGGCTCCGCAGCTGCAAGGATCTCATGTAGTGATTAGGCTCTGTAGCAGTGCAAGTACCTATGGGTAAGTAACAATACCACGTTGCTACGTAACACTAATAACCAATTCTCGTTACATCTATGTGATTTCTTCTTGGCTACATTCACATGCAAAGACGCAATATATTATAAGCCTATATATTCCAATATGCATGATATCACCAATGAATATCGCATACCGGAAGACAATTTTCCCAATATGTACGCGTTAGTCTGCCATAAATCCGCCAAATACCTCAGCAGTATATTGACATTTGTAAGATATCAGGAGGTAGATCGATATCTACCCTGTTCCCAAATTCAAAAACTCTACCTCGTTTTTTTTTTAAAATAGCAATCTTTTTTTTTTATTTTTTCTTTTAATATGTTCTGAAGTGCTGAGTTAAGCTTTAAAAAAACATCAAGACAAACCGATTCCTCTAATAATATCAGTATATTGATCGGGATTACGTATTTATCACCTTTTAAATATATTTAGGGGATTGTTTTTTATACTCCCCAAATTTATTATTCATACCTCCCTGCAGATTAAAATTTTTTTTTAAACTTTGAGCGAAGGTATCTCAGCAACTACTAGGCCGAATTTGATAAACTTTTTTTTATTTGAAATCTATGGATACATAGAACTTAAAACAAAAAAATTTCATCAAATTTGACGTGGTGTTGTTGAGATATCTTCACTCAAAGTTTTAAAAAAATCAAACCGTCTATCAAAACAAGATATCGCAGCAACCACCTGGCCAAATTCGATAAACTTTTTTTAATTAGAATTCTATGGATCCATAGAATTGAAATAAAAAAAAAAGTTTATCAGATTTGATTTTGTGGTTGCTGAGATATCTTTGTTTAAATTTTTAAAAAACTTAAAAACAATACTCAAGCTGCGCCAAACTTTTTTCTAAACTTTGAGCGAAGATATCTCAGCAACTAGAAATAGTCAGGGCGGCCCCCAAAGTGCCAGTGACGTAATCATTTTCACCAATCAGATAATACTATATATTTAACAATAAGTGATGATTTAATATATATAGTATTACTTAATTGTTGAAGTGATTACGTCACTGGCACTTTGGGAGGGCCGCCCTGGCTATTTCCAGCAACTATCAGATCAAATTCAATGAAGTTTTTTTTTATTTGAATTGTATGGGTGCATAGAATTCAAATAAAAAACCATCGTACTTGGCCTGGTGGTTGCTGAGATATCTTCACTCAAAAGTATAGAAAAAAAGTTTGGTGCATTGATAGACGTTTTGAATTTTTTAAAACTTTAACGAAAATATCTCAGCAACTACCAAATCAAATCCGATGAATTATTTTTTATTTGTATTCTAAGTATTCACAGATTCAAATAAAAAAAGTTCATCAAATTTTACTTGGTGGTTGCTAAGGTATCTTCGCTCAAAGTTTAAAAAAAATTTGACGCAGTTTGTTTTGATAGGCGTTTTTAAATTTTTTTTTTAAAACTCTCCAAAAAGTCAATTTTTTTTATTTAAATTCTATGAATCCATAAAAAAAGTTTATCGAATTTAGCCTGGTTATTGCTGAGATATCTTTGCTCAAAATTTAAAGAAATTTTAGTACAATTTGTTTTTTTGATAGGCATTTTGATTTCTTTAAAACTTTGAGCGAAGATATCTCGGCAACCACCACGTCAAATTCGATGAACTTTTTTTTGTTTCAATTCTATTGAGTCCATATATTTCAAAAAAAAAGAAGCTCATCAAATTTGGCCTAGTGGTTGCTGAGATACCTTCGCCCAAAGTTTAAAAACATTTTTAATCTGCAGGGGTATGAATAATAAAATTGGGGTATAAAAATAATCCCCTACCGTATTGGCGCGACATGGGCGTTATTTCGAAACTCCCATTTTTTTGAAAATTGTTTTTTGACTCAAAATAACGCATGCGCGTCCCCTTAAATGTACCGTATTACATATATTTTCAGGCTAAGTTCATTATTAAAAGTATTGTAACCCAAATTTGTCAAAATGATTCGAATTATCGCGCATGCGCATAATAACGCGCCAATACGGTATATTTAATAGTAAAGAATGATTTGTATGTTTTTAGATGTCTAGAGAGAATAGCTTTACTATTTCAATTATTTTAGCATAAATGAATTCTTAAACACGTTTATACGTAACAAAGTTACGTAGAAATTTTCAAGTTAATTCATATTAAGAACTATTCACAGATAAAAAAATTTAATATTAGTACACAAAGTTTTTTAACGTAACTTTTGTTATAAACGTGTTAAGAATCGATTTATATTAAAATAATTGAAAAAAGTAAAGCGATTCTCTCCAGACATTTAAAAACATACAAATCATTCTTTACTATATATTAAATCAATATCCTGATCACTAAATTCGAAAAAAATTTATTACGTAATTGATTTTTATATGGTACTATATAGTTTTGATTTACATAGTTGATCGAACACCCCAACAGCACATGTATCGACGTAACATAACTTCACATATCTTTTTAATCAGCATATCTTACGCTCTATCAAGGTGTTGATCACGAAGATTCTTTTCACTTTATTTCATTGTATTCAATATGTAATGACAATCAATAATTATTAATGATATAATACAAACTAGATTGTGATTAACGGGATAAAAATGTAAAAAATACATGAATATACTGCTTATATATTACAATATGATTGATATAAAATTGTACAATGAACTTTTTTTAACAAGAGTCCGATAATATATATTAGTGTACTATAAAAAAATTAAAATTTGTTTCATTATTATTAATTTTTTTTTTCTATTGAACCTTTTTCCTCTCCTTGTCATCAGCAACCATTTCATCAACCAATTCCTCCAATTTATCAACAACCGTATCATCACCAATCAATTCACCACCAACCAATTCATCACTTTTATCATCAATTTCACTGACGTTTGTGATGATCCATTTACAAAGTTTAGGGCCACTGAAAACAAAGAAGAAACCAAATACCAAAAACATGGTTGCATGCCCGTAAAAGGCGTTCAATTTCCATACATATAAACAGTCTGGTAAATTTAACAATATGAAAGGTAGGCAAATATAATTAACAATTGCTTGACTGAAGAGCCAACCTAGGAAGTCGTAACAAAATTTGAATTGGGTGTATGGTTGTATTAAAAATATTGGGCGAACATTTCTTCGAATAGCTTTATTAGAAAAAAAACACACCAGTTAGTAAAATTAAACAATAATTTATCATGATAAAAAGTACGATACGAAATCACTTACTTCTATGACAGGTAACCAAGAGTGCTGCACTTAAAAACGTAACTGTTCAAAAATGAAATCCATCATATTATTAATATACGATTAATTAATAACATTTTTACATATATAAAAGTGCAAAACCTACAGTAATATCCTGGATAAAAACCATGCCATATTGCGCATATTGCAAATGTTATGAGTGTTGTATAGAAAGTTGGGCGTTGTCCTGGTGGACTTACTCTTAGATAAACATAATTTTTTAACCATTTATCTGTCTGACAATTCCAAGCTTGAATTAGAGCTCGGGGATTATCAGCAGTTTCATATCCAAAAACATCAATATTAACGACTCGATCGCTATACACGTGTAAAAATGTAAATAAGTATATAATCATATGATAGAAAAAGATAGTTTTTACCAAAAAAAAAAAAACCTTACAATTTAATATTTCCTCTTCCATCATTACCGTTGTAGCCTAGACCAGATAAAATCATGGAACCTTCCGACATAAGCCAAACGATGTAAAATCGGAATCTAGCACAGGAACAAGCCATTTGGACGAACCAGATCCTGTAAACAATAATTAAAATCATCAAAAATTGGTATAATTAAAAAGAATAAAACATAAATTTATATATATAAAATTTACCGATCAATAAGTGAAAGTTTTTTGTATTCATCTGATAATGTCCAAGAGATTTGATACCGACTGCCAAAGGCGAATGACATAGCAATTAAAAAGAGTCCAAACCAAAGCTTGGACACAGCTTGTTTTAAACCTAAGTCATTTGGAGCATTTTCAAATTCACCCGAAGAGGCTGCCCATTGTCGATAATCTTCAAATTCAATAGCAGGACCAACCAAAATTGATGGGAAATAAAAAATAAATCCGAAATATTCGAGTAATGACGGAAACTTATTCACAGGAATAGCTTTTTTCAATTGACGAGGAGTATATTGGGCGATGTCTATGGATTCATCAATTTTTCGTTCCGTAGAAGATATTTGACGTGACTGAAAAGACTTTAGGAATCACAACATGTGAGCGATTGAATTGTTAACAAAAGAAAAAATCAAATGACGAAATACTAACAGATTCTGGTGCATGTTCATCAAATTCTTGTTCCACTTCTTTTAAGTTTAGTTGTTGACCATCAAATAAACAGTAGGCGAAGGAAGTTAATTTGATGACAATAACCATTTCTGGTCCTGTTGCATCGTATTGAGTGACAGATATCGCATATAGTTGACGATAAATATGACTACAATTTGAATAGTTACACAAAAAGATAATTTTGGTAAGATTGATTGTCTACTTAACCCAGAAATCTTACCAAGTTTGGGAATGCGCTAACGCTAAAACCGGTCAAATAGATTGACCGAAAATCAGGTGATCAACATACCTTCGCATCTCCCAATTAATAATAATGATAAAAAACCTACCTCATACTCATATGGGCCAAAAGAAATATGAAAGCAAGTCTTGGACCCCAATGATTTTTTACATATAACATAATGAGGTACACCACCAAAGAATTTACACACAAGATCCTGACGGCATCTATCAGATCAAATATTCCTAAAAAGATGAAAAGAGACAAGGCTATATTGTACAAGTGTCGAAGTTCTGGAATCCGTATAAAGCGAAGACCTAGTGAAGCTGGATAACAAGCGACCAAAACAACGATAACTTTTATTTGGTCTATAGAAGCACCACCCAGATGTTCTGCGAGGATTTCAAAATATTCGTCAAACAAAGCCATTCTCGTTGAAAAAGAGGTATTACTCGAGCGAGTAAAATTTTTGTTACAGTAGCAGTAGAGTTGATTTTAATAAAAATAAGATGAGAGAAAGAAATCCGTTTTTTTTTTATATCTGTTAATAGTTCTCCTATTATCGGAGTGTCACACAACAATATCTACGCAGAACCGTACAACCTGTCATACGGAGATGATTCCCAACAAACACATGTTGAAAAGCAAAATTTTTGGGGCAACGTGCTTTTATATAGGATCTACATATTTAGATGTTGTCATGTGGAAGTGCATCAGAAACCCGAATTTCATATAGGGAAATTCAAAAAATTTCCGAATCCTTAATGTTAACGATAAACAAAAGGCATTAATTTGATGCTACATACGTAACAAAAATTGCGGGCTCGAGAGGCGTAGTGATTACAGAATTATATAGCATGTTGATTTTCGAAATATATACTATTTATACCGGAGATATAACTAGATAAATGATCTTCCGAAGAAACATCGTTCATATCATTTTCCATATTTATTTACATGAAAACTATGAAATTTATCATAATAATGAATTAATAGCCCCCTGTTAATGTTATTAATGTACTTTAAATAAATAAATCTTTTATGTACATACGCATTTAGCAGATTACTATTTTTCTAGAAAAGCCGGAATTCAGTTTAAAAAAGTTACTTAGCCTACTTTGAAATTCGATCTTCTTTACATCCAATCATATCTTTTAAAATTTTCATGTTATACATTTATTGATATACGTCTTATCTTCATGATCTTCTATTAGTATCCCCCGTAAGACAAACGCTTTGTATATATGATTCGACGTTCTATTCAAACCTTTATAGGTCTGTGATTAAGCATGTATATCCAAGTTATGGCGTCAATATTTTGAATGGTGGAACATAATATAAGATAAAATAGTTCATAATGATTGCAGTTACACTAAAAATCCCAAAGTATTCTTAATTAAGTAAATAAAAGTACATAAATGCATAAACGTAAGTACGTACCCCATCATTTTTTTTAATTACAATTCTTTATTTATTAGCCCTTATCAAACCCTGATTGTTTAACTACCCTTTTTTGTATAAATTGTAATATAAAATACCTTTAAAGTTAAATTTTCATGATGAATGAAATAAACAATCTTTTTTGTAATGCGATTATCGTTAATTATAAATTCCATTTACGTATAGATCTTATTAAAACAATCACGATGAATGTGCTTTGGCTAGTATTGGCAAACAGCAATCAATTAATGTTGTTTTTTTGTCCATATAAATTAAGGGAGATTAAAATGTTTATCCTGAATTCGGAGTATCTTAACAATATCAAAGAGAAAATTGTATCATGTGAAACAGTGAATTTTTAATACGTGTTTCAATCTTCAAAAAAAAAAAGCCTTGGAGAATCAATATATGAGCTTGTATTGTCGTAACTATCGAAAAAACCGCCTTATTAAATATAAAGAATTAAGCATTCATGAAAATTGTGCTTCTAATTGGTTCACGCTAACCGGTTAATAAACTGCTTATCAACAGGTTAAACTTTTTAATCGGTTAGAAAAATAACAAGAAAAAAAAAAAATTTTAATTTTTTTACGTAAGTTACACGGATTACTTGCCAGACTATCGCTTGGCTCATCAAAAATGGATAGCGATAGATTGGATAGATTGAGAAAAATAATTAATTGCAATTATTCTAACGCTAATAATATATCAATTTTGAGTAGCGTTATTAGTAGTGCATACGTATGAGTGCTGTCAAAAGAAAACCTGTCATCGGGCTTTCAATTATATTTTGTGTACAGTTAGTCATCTATGGAAAATCTATCATTATAATAGATTTCCGTAGATGGTTAACTGTACACAAAATATAATTGAAAGCCCGATGACAGGTTTTCTTTTGACAGCACTCATATCGATATTATAACTATCTTTTTAATACAATATCTATAACTGAAGTAAAATTTACTGTTTAACATTATCGTGCTTTTCAAATTACTGCGATCCACCATAATAAATCTAATTAACATGTTTAGAAATAAAATTTCTTAAGATTCCCCATTGTCTCTCGATCCTCCAATATTTCTCTAACAAAGACAAACCCTGAAATTTTTGATATTATTTTGTCAAACTAACTACTCAGTTCTGATGTACTATTAGACAATACTACAGGATCGAAATATGATAGGGAGGCTTGATAATTTTACTTTATACACGTTAATTAGTTTATTCGGTATTGAAAAGTACTATAACAACTTATTAAACTAGCGCGCACATTTTTTGCACACAGCTTAAAAAGATCAAATTCAAATAAAATATAACAAATTTATTTTTTTAAAATTTTTAAAAAATATTTTTATTTACGATTTTAAAAAATTATTAAAATTTTTAATAATAAAAATTTAAAATATAATTTTTTTTAAAAAGGGTATATTTTATAGAAACATGCAAATTTGCAACTTTAATATTATATACTTGCAATTAACTATAAAGTAATTATAGATTTACTTTATAGTAATTATAGATTTGTATTTAATTTAAATTAGCAATACCCTACTACTATTTTACTACCATGATGTTATATTTTATTACAATTTTATAAAAAATTTTAAAAAGTTAAAATATTACTTTTTATAAAATTGTAATAAAAATATTGCTAATATATAGTAATGTAGAAGTAAAATTAAATCTCTATAAAATTACAAGCTTGATAATCTAATAATCAAAATTACAATTTAATTAGCCTTTTCTAAATGCAAAATTTCTAAATATATATTTTAAGCTTGTTTGAAATATTCGCAAACTTTGCTAAACTTTACTAAATATATTAAAAATTTAATAATTACTAATATTAGTAAAGCTATTTCTTATATTGCCTACTTATTTTATAAAATATTCTTAGTTTATTTATTTTTGATAGTCATACTATAGCAGAGAAGAAATAGTTATATATACAAATGTAGTGCTCTTCAATGAGCCGGCTTGATAAGCCTTGCTAAAAATTGCCATTGGCTCATTTAGGCTTATTTAGTTTTTATACTATATAATATATAAAAATATCATTTATTTGTATAGTTTATATTATAAACTATACAAATAAGTGATATTTTTATATATTATATAGTATAAAAACTAAATAAGCCTTAATAAGTTAATGGCAATTTTAGCAAGGATTATCGAGCTAGCTTATTGGAGAGCACTATACAAATACTAATACTATTTTCTAGTATACTGTATACTTTAAAATAAAAATACAACCTATTTAGTTACTAGAAGTACCTAGTTATAACTTGCCAAAGTAGATTTAACCTTTATATTTTTTTGAATTTCTATTTTAGATATACACTTTACCAGTTTAAAATCTATATCTTGTTATAATTAGTGTTTGGCACAATCAAACAAAAATTTAATAGCTAAAATACTTGTGATTAAGTTTTTTTTTTTAATTATAAGAGTGTAACACCCGCACTTAGACTTTATTTAATATTTAAATAATTGATATATAATGGTGCCGATATATATGCATATTATATCAAGTACCAAGACTAGGACATCAGGTATACAAACCATTTATTCACAGCTAAAACCCACCAGAGCCGACCATATCCCCACTATACAGCTAACCTGGATTTATATATTTCTCTCCAACTGCCAATCAGTATTCACATGTCCACCACATTACCCACAAACCATTTATCTTCAACTTCCAAATTGGTGTGTACCAGATAGGCACTTATTACTTCCGGTTTGGTGTGTCTGTCAGAGAGATTTTCTCCCTTAATTCCTACTTAGCATATTTCCAGGAGTTCGTATCTCAAGCCATGTAGCCAGGGTTGGCATTAGACAATGTTCAAATAAATTTAATTGGACATTTGGACATTTGGACAATTAGACATAGTCCAAATGTTCAAATAAATTGTAAATTATTGGACATATGTCCAAATAGTCAATTGGACATATGTCCAATTGTTCAATAATTTTATTGGGCAATTTTAATAATATGATGACAAAAGCTTTATTGTTTTTAACTACAATAATGATGTTTACTAATTTTATTTTTATTTCTTATAAACTTTTTTACTCTTTAATTTACAATAATAATTTATTAATGAATGTTTCTAATTCAAAGTAACGACCTTGAATAATTTATTTAATTTGGTGTGCTTTCTTTTATAATATGCTTTTATTTTAAAATTAAATTTAAAATCAACTGTTGTCATTATTCCTTTTGAAATACAAATTATTTTACAGTTTTTAATATTCTATTTGATTAATCATATTTCAATAGGGCAATACCAAGTACATATATAAACATGTTGTAAGTAAAATGGAATTTAAGTTGATTCAATAGTGTGAATATGTACGTACGAATGAAATTAGAGATATTTTGTATTGGTAAATATTGGCCTGAATTAAGTTTAATTTAGGCCAAGATTAAATTAATTTTTTTTTAATGTCTAATAAAAAAAGTTACTATGTCTAATAAAATTATTTGGACAATTGAACATTGTCCAAATGTCCAAATGTCCAAAATATCCAACTATCCAATATCACAACATGCCATCTTTGCATGCAGCTGCCTCTATTCAAACAGGTAAGTATCGCAAGCCTGCATGCTACCATAATTAGCTGGTTTCCTGCAACTTTCAGGACCCAGGTTTTAACGTATCCAGTTAGGTTTGTGCTAATAACAGTACTTCCCAATATGGTAATAAGGCTGCCAGGCATGTTTTGCAAATGCTTCTAGTAGTCAGTATAGTTGGATAGTATCATGAGGCTCAGAGGTAACAGGTGCATCATCATTTTTTTTTATGGTGATTCTCAGCAGTTGTAGCCTCCAGTTACTGCTGTATGCACTTATACCAGCTATACCTATATTGGTGATTCCGAGTCCTCTTAATGCCAAAGGCTCTCATACAGGTACGACCAGAGCCTGTTAGGTTTATTAACACGTACACACCTCTATACTTTAACTTCTTATTGGCCGGTAAGTT